TATATATATAATTTTCCCCAAAATTCAGCTGATAGCTGAATTTTGAACATGAAATGTATTTTAATAAACACTGCCTTTATAATTATTCAAAGTGTATGCATTTTTTGGGGAAAACCCCTATATATATGTTTTTTTTAAATATTCACTCAAGAATATGTTGTTTTTCTCCCCATTATTTTTAGAGAGAGAGAAACAGAAAGAGAGAGAGAGATGTTGTCAGGGAGAAACATTGATCAGTTGCCTCCCATACACCTGAAGCAGGGATCAAACCCGCAACCTAGGTATGTGCCTTGGCAGGGAATTGAACCCACAATCTTTTGGTATATGGGACAGTGCTCCAACCAACTGACCAGGGCACAAGATATATTTTAATTCTCAAGTAAGAGGCTCTATGCATTTTCTCATTTTAAGATTGAGTTGAATCATAAGTAAAATAAAACCCAGCTTCTGGTACTTTGATATGTTAATAGAAGGAAGTTTTTACAGTGCATGACATGAGAACAATCAAGCGTTAAAACACATACATTAGGAATATGCAGGCACTCTTGCTCATAGTTTCCTTGCATCTTCCAAGACTTTACACAATACATTGTATTTACACATGTTAATATGAATCTAATCAATTTTTAAATCTTCTGCCTATTCTACAGGATAGATCTACAATGGCCAACAAAGGAAGTTATAATTAAGAATATCTGATTCTAAAAAAGCAAAAAAACAAAAACAGTTAATACGTGAACATAGGCAAGATAAACTGGAACTGCATTACTGAAGTGAAAATGCTTTATAGTCATATTCAATTTGTGATAAAAAGGGGCCTTTTATTATTTGGGCATTTTTCAATTTTTCTTTAAATTTAAAGAACTACCTTAAATCTAAATTCATAAAAACATAAATGTCATATTAAGTGAGTTATGTTCTTTAATATAGTAGCAAGATATGTACATATCTACATATGTACATATTTGGTAACATACAGGCTCAGAGAACAGATGCAAATTACACAGAAGCAGTTATACATTAGTATAATATAGCTATTTGCACTGTGATTAACACTGCAAGCAATCTAAGTGGAAACAGATCTCAATTTGAATAAATCATGTTTAATTAAAGACTAGATATAAATGTTCACAGAACTTAATGTAATGAAATGAAAACTAAACATCTTTGTAATAAATCACATATATTTCTCTTTTTCACAGATTAAGGCCTTATCATTTCCAGAAAAAAGTTCATATCTAGCACAAATATACTGGACTATACTAGACTATTTTTATAACTAAGAAAAACTTGACACAGCAGTTCCCAAATAAAATAGAAATTTCCATATTTGGTCATATTTCTAGTTCATGTATTATAAAAATAGCTATCATTTTTTGAGGTCTTTGCTTCTATGATTGCCCAATGAAAATTGTTTTTTTAAAAAAACCTAACTGAAAATTGGACTTTATCAATATACCAGCTGAGTCCTGATTTCTCTCTATCAACACATAAAACATTACTGTTCACAGTCTAGTCTGAGACATAGTAACAAGCTAAATCTGGATTTCCAGATGTAAATGCATATACACCTTTTCTTTGAGAGTGGGGGAGAGGAGCGGGGAAGGAAGAAGAAAATAAGATAAAGAAAGACCAGAAGAGATGAGAGAGTAGACAGATGTTCACAACAGAATGAATTTTGTTGAACCAAAGAGGTACTCCAGGAGGATTTCCATGCCCTTTGCTCTGTTGTAAACTTGCTACACAGATTTGTTCACTTGTATATGTATAAGTTAGACTCTGTCTTTATCATTATGTCTCAGCCCATTTTCTTCAGATTTGTAAAGGCGTGTTTATAGTCTACCCTCTTTGTCTTGAGTTTTTGCTAACGAATAATTGGTCAGATAGTTTCCATTTCTTTTTTTGTGGTGAGGATATTTAAGATAGATGCTCCTAGAAACAGTCAGGTATATAATACAGTATTATTAGCTATAATCACCATAATGGACTTTAGATCCCCCAAACTCGCTAATCTGACAACTAGAATTTTGTACACTGACAAATATTTCCTCATTTCTCTACCCACCACTCTACTCTCTATTTCTCTGAGTTTGTCTTTTTAGATTCCACATATAAGTGAGACCATACTTTGTCTTTCTCTAA